ATATACTATAATAAAAGTTACATAAATGTGATCTCTCTCTTGGAATATTGTATTGTGCTATACTAATTCTTCTTGGGATGATGTGAGATGATCAAATGCCTACATGATGAAACAAAGTGAGGTGACTGATAGAGGCATTGTGACGAAGCCTTAGGCTACTACTATTGACCTTCTGGTGATCCGTCAGGAGGATCATTTGCTTCCAGACTGGACTGCGTTTGATCGCAGGTAACTGAAAGCATGGAAAGCGAAACTGCAGATAAGGGGGGACTGCTATACTCTTAAGCAGAATCTGCCATATACTACAGCAGCCTCATTTCACGTGTGAGTTCCAGATCCAAAACATTCTTTGCAGCCCATTTGAGTCCTCCCTGGCTCATGGACCAAGGATGTACATTTTTTCATCAAGACTGATTATCACTTGTTTTCAGAGCTCTTGGAAACCAAACTCAAATTTCAAATCAACTGGCCTGACATTGAACAATGGCCAGTTTTAATTGTGCAGAGCACTGCAGTTTGTAAAATAGCACCATGGCCATTGATGTTCTGCAGAGCTGGTTTATGTTCACTGCTCTGCTATGGTGTCAGTTTATCATTTATAGAAATGTGTAAAACTAATGCAGAGTAATAAATCTCTAAGGACTCTTACCACTTCATCTGACTAAATACTGTGAGGGCTATAAAACTGTGGAACTAAGATTGATGTAGAAATTAACCAATTATGAGAACTTAAAATAGATGATTTTATTTTAAGAAGTGGGGCTGAAAATTGAGAATTTTATGACATTTTAATTTGTTTTGCAAACACTGCATATGGGATAGCGAGTATTTGTGGCATGCAGACTTTCTAATGAAAAAACCATTAGTGTAGAGACAAGTTTTCTGGTCATTTATTGTAATATTACCATAAAATTGTTCAAGTTCTATAGTATATAACAAAACATTTTATATGTATATTTTGTTAAATGTACATTTGGTAGATAAGGAAGTATATGTGTATACATGAAGCCCAGCGTATATTGTTTTAATGGCTATTACTAGGTATCTGTAAAACTATTTTTCACTTTTTAAAAATTCTCCGTATTCTAGTCTTGTTCATCAAGGAAGAGGAAATGGTATCAGGCTGATCTACATGGTTCCTGACTTTAGCTTGCCCGTAAGGCAGGCAGGCCCTAATGTTTGGACAGTGGATTCTAACTCTTTCCTGCAAGAGGCATGATGCCACAAGCACTGTTCTCAGCTTCAGAACCGTGAAAAGTGCCCTGGGTCTCACTGACTATGGTAGCCTTATCGAACCACTTTTTTGGCTTCCTGATTGTTCAACTGATCAACGAGTTAAAGCTTTGGTCCTGGGCAACCTGCCTGAGTCAGTCATTCCAAATGGATATAATGACAGCAATCTCAAAACTTGGCACAGTCTACCAGAGATATGGGCTCAATACTTCAGTCTAAGCCCCAGCTTCTGGCCAGGACAGTGGCAGACATGGCCCAATTCTAGACTTTCATAAAATAAAATGGCTTCTCTGTGTGAACAGGCATTATCTATGGTTAAGGACCAAAGGGAAGGGTAGCAACATTACAGTGTGATATTGGTAACCTGCCTTTTTTACTTTATGTCTAGGATGACTTTCATTAGCCACAACCCTCAGTACTAAAAATAGATACAGGACTTTTAGAAGAAAATAGGGGAGTGCCTGGGTGGGTCAGTCGGTTGAGCGTCCGACTCTTGGTTTCGACTCAGGTCATGATCTCAGGGTTGTGAGATAGAGCCCCACACTAGGCTCCAAGCTCAGCACGGGGTCTGCTTGAGACCATCTCACCCTCTCCCTCTGCCCCCCACCTCAAATAAATAAGTAAATCTTAAAAAAAAAAAAAAAGAAGAAGAAAATCAGACTGGTTGTATTCACTTACTTTTTAGAACTACTTCCTATGCTGTAAGAGGTTCCCTTCCTAATTAGGTTCTAGTCCCTTTTAGTAAGTGTTATTCTGCTTGTGGTTTCTATTGCATTTTATTGGTTTTCCATATGACATGAAGTATTACTATTTTAAGGAAATCTAATTTAAGGAGATTTGGGTTTTCTGTACTTTTCAATTGCTAAATTGGATAAGCATCACTTTGCACTCCTTTATTACTCATTTATCAAACTGACTTTATTATGAAATTATTATTGTCTGAGAGACCTTTACATAGAAAAAAGTTCAGCATTGTTAAATGGTACATAAAGTACAAACCAGGGGTCAATAAATTTTAGCCAGAGGGTCAAAACCAGCCCTTTTGTAAAGTTTTATTGGGACACAGCCATGCTCATTCATTTACATATTGTCCATGGCTGTTTTCACACTACACAGCAGAGGTTGAGTAGTTGCAACATAGACCATGACCCACAAAGCTGAAAATATTTACTGTCTTGCCCTTTAAGGGAAAATTTTGCCAATTTTTTTTGTCTTAGTTTGTTTTTACAAAATGCAAATAAATACTTGTATTTTAGCTATTCTTTGAGGATATTTAAAATAGAGAAAAGTGATCAAAATTTTTTTATTTTGGGTTAAAAGTGGAAATAGTCAAATCTGTGGCATATATATTGGGCTGTGGAAATACACAAATCTGGGCAAATCATTATGCATATATATTGGGCTGTGTGAAAGCTTATCAGAAAAGCAATCTTTTAAGTTATTTTTTTAAGTGAGTGAATAGTTGTATATTGACTTAAAATCGATTCTGTAAAAATTCTTGTTTAATTTGGAGAAAGTTGCTAAAAGTAATCATTTTATAAAAATAATGGTCCAACTAGAAAGTATTCAACATAGTCTCTATTAAAGAATTTGATGGATGAATGGATGGATTTTTTTTTTGCACCCCACTTTGATACAATGAAAATTTTACTTATTCAGAAATTTCAACTTGAAAGTTTTTAGAAGAATTTCTATTATGGTAAAGTGAAAAATAATTGTGCTATGTATAAACTTTTTCAAAGAAATTTAGAGACTTCCAAATGTAAGGATTATTCTTTTGGTTTTTTTAAATTCAAAGCTACATGCTGTTATGGAATAAAAAATCCATAGTATGACTATCCTTTTAAACTCTAGTTGAAAGCCAGATATACTTTTGTTTGAAGTTATATGGCTTTGTTACAAATAGATGGCATAAAAAATGCTCTCCACTTTCTTGGGATTCACCTTTATATTTTAAAAGTGTGGATTTTTTCTGTTTTCCCCTTGTTTGTTTCCTGAATGCAGTGCAAGTTCTGGTTCAGTGCCAGTTATAAATCCAGAATTTATTAGAAGGCAAGGATGTGGAAGAGGACACTTGAGGCAGAGATATATAAGTATAAAGAAGAGAAAAAAACCCGAGGGTTTTATAGGTTCCTCCATTCATCCCTTATCCTAGAGTGGTAAAAGAGTGCACTTTGGAAGCTTTCTGGAGGGGTAATTTCAAAGTGCAGCATCAAAATATCATGAGTTCTTAACTTTGGATAAGACTACATTGCAGTTTAACCATGGATTAAAGTCTATTTTCATTTTCTGCACATACATTAAAGTGAGGGCCAGAAGAGACAGTCTGGGACTTCCAAAGGACCCCCAATGAAGAATGTTCTGCACAGTATCATTTTTTGTGATGCTTTCTAAACTGGATAGTGCTTTCATATATTCACTTTGCTGCTTCTTAGAGAACATTCTCCTCTTCTTATGGGATGGGAAATGGCCAATTTTCTGTCATGCTACTTCTGTATCTTTATAGGAAGTGACAGATGCATTTCAGTGAGGTTTACATTTCACTCAGCACATAGGAGACTCAAAGTATCCATGTACAGAGACTGGTACATAGCATGTGGTCAATATATGCTTGCTGTTTCCACGTATGAATGAAGAAAGGGGGCCAGCAGCTATTTAGAGTACATTCTGGCTCCCTGGGAATACTTAATTTCACAGACCATCCTTGTGGTAAATACCACAGTGAGATTAGAATGAAATGAAAGAGAGGAGGGAAAAACAAACAGTAACAAATTTTCCTGATGCCATTTTGCTGGGGGAGTTGTTTTAGAGAAGGGGAGGGAAAGACTGGCAAATAAAAACTTGGTTCCTTTGGGGGGTGCAGTACGGAGAAGGAAGGCTTTATAAGAAAGGACCGGAAAAAAAAAAAAAAATGAAAGAATGTGTTACTGCCACACAACATGGGTAGCTATCAGAGACATAAAGCCAGACACAAAATCAATATCACAGACTTAAAAGCCAGACACAAAAGAGTTCAGACCATTTACATAAAGTTTAAGAACAGGCAAAAATGAATCCGCAGTGATAGATGTCCCTTACTAGCCTGGGTGAGAGGGTGATTATTGACTGGGGAGGGGCACGAGGGAACCCCGGTGACGAAAATGTTCGATATCTTAATGTGGTTGGTGGTTATATGGGAGTATGAATATATATAAAAGTTCATCATATTCTCGACTTTCATATTTAAGGTTTGTGAACTTTATAGCTCAATAGAAAAAAACAATAATAATGAAAATAGGTTATGGAAAGGATACCCAATTTACCATGAAGGCTTAGTAGAGTCCTTGGAAAGCGTGGCAAACCCCTGGTCTAAAAACACTGCTGTGTTTAGGGGGTGCCTGGGTGGCTCAGTTGGTTGGGTGACTGCCTTCGGCTCAGGTCATGATCCTGGAGTCCCTGGATCGAGTCCCGCATCGGGCTCCCTGCTCGGCAGGGAGTCTGCTTCTCCCTCTGACCCTCCCCCCTCTCATGTGCTCTCTCATTCTCTCTCTGTCAAACAAATAAATAAAATCTTAAAAACACTGCTGAGCTTAGCCTAAGAGACTTTTCTGAATTAGGACGTTTATAGTAATTTTTGTTGCAAAACACTTCAGTTCCCAAAGGATGATTAGCATGCAGTAAGATCCCGTGTATTTAGCTGCAGCTAGATGCAGGCTGCTGAACATCATTCTGTTGATTCTTTGAGGACTGACTGCTTAAAAGCAATACTTTCTTGTTTTTCTTTACAGATTGGCAGATTGCTACTCTGGCTTTACTCTTGGGCGGTGCTGCCATCATTCTTATTGCATTCCTGGTGGGTTTGATTTCTATCTGCGTGGGATCTCGAAGGCGCTTCTACCGACCTGTTGCTGTCATGCTTTTTGCAGCAGGTAAATGTGTATTTATTATGTTCGAGCTGGTATTCAAGTTGCAGCAACCTTTCTACCATCCCTCCCTTCACATGCAGAAGCAGTATGAGGTTGCTGCATTACCTACAAATTGAGAGACATTTGATATATTTTAAGGTAAACTAAGGGTTTGTCTTATTACAGGTTTTCAGTATGTTAAGCATTTCACAGAGCAGAGTGGCAATTTCTAAACTTCTAACTAAAACATGAGTAAGTAATAGTTCTTGACAGGGCTATTGCCTTACGAATTGCAGCAGATGTGTTTACCAACTGTCTTCACATTCAGCTTTTTTCCCCTCCTTTTATTGCCCCCTTGGTGACCTTAAGGCAACAGTATTTTTTTCTGACGTGAAACTGGAAAAAATTCCAATATATGTAGGCTGAAAGGTCTAAATCTGTTTGGAAACAAACACGCTTATAATGAAAAATGATAATGTATAACTTGAACCATCAGACAATTCAGTTGTATGCGGTCAGTGGCATAGTCGTTAATCTAACAGCCATCGTTCTAGGAAGCACGCACAGCTGGGATGAAAACATGAAGCAAGGTAAGGTGGAGGTTTTGCTAAAATCAGGGAACTGTTTAGAAAGGGGGTTTATAAGACTAAAAGCCCAGTCCATTATTTAATGTATTTTAATTTTCATCTATAAGAATAGCCTTGAATATATTGTTTTTTTTTTATTCCAACTGAAATATTCTTGTGGTGCCTTCAATTTACCCTGTCACATCTGATTTGAAGACTGCAAAATAAGCCTCTGTGATTGTCAATAATGAAGACACTGACAGAACCATCTCAGATTAGATGGATTTTTTTTTTTTTTTATAGCTGTTTAAAGATGGGAACGGATGAAATTTCTCAGGATTTGAAGTGTAGTTTGATCTAAAAATATAAGATCAGAAGTAGTCTGCTGCCCCCTGCTGTTTGTGTTCATTTTTTATACCCAAGAAGACTGACTGGAATGTAGGTGTCATGAAAAGGAAGGTCCAGAGGGCTGAAGTACATCTAAGTCAAATCTCTCAAGTGACTTGCTCAAAATTCTATAGTAGTTACCAGCAGAGCCAGGGCTGGGAGGCTACTGAATTTTGAACTAGTGGTTCATTCGCTACTGACTCATTCATTCATTCAGCTGTTCATTAGGTGCCTCTTACAGACTGAACATGGCATTAAGAGACCCACGAAACCAGCTAAATAGCACCACAGATACTTTCTAATAGAATAGAAAACACTATTACAAAAAATAGTTTGAAATCTTAGGCAGTGGCCATACTATTCATTTTTCTGTTGATCTGTGTAATAAAGATCTCTATTGTGAATCATTTAGTACAACATGAAGATTCTCCTAAAGATTCCATCACAGTTCTCTAGTTTATATCTTGGTTCATGGATTTATCATGGATCTTTCTATTCTTAGAATGAAATAACTTAGGTATTTTAATTTTAGTATAAATTTGTCTTTGCAGCGAGGATTTATTAACATAGTGATAAGATAATTAATTGTAATAAAATTTTTTGATAAATTGTTCTGAAATTATATACCATTCCTTAAAACTGGAATTATGTTTTGAATAATCTTTAAAATACTCAGATATTTCTGATTTTACAAAGGTATAGAGGTACTCTAGACATTCTCTTATAAATATCCAGTATTATGGTGCTACCTAGTTACTGTCTCATTTAGATTTTAACTTACCACATAATAGCATGTGTAGAATCTATAAAGAAATCCATTGTTTATAGCACCTATTTTAAACATCCTTAGAAAAATAACTAGGAGTTTCTAGTTCTTTCTAAAAAAGCTCTGTATGTTTTCCCAAGTATAGGAAAATTTATGAAAATGTGAAAATAAGTACTGGTTGTAACAGAAAACATATTGTAAATGAACATAAGTTAGAGGTAATGGATTTGGTCAAAATAAAGATTCCAATTTAGCTCTAGCTACTACAAGTATTAGTAAAGTATAAAATAATGAGAGGAATCCCTACAGTAATAGTCATATATTCATATTCTACCTGCTGAGACCTAAAGCAAGCATTATACTGCTACATTTTTAAAATGTACATGTGCTGAGATTTAATTTTACTTACTCTCTTTTGACACTGTGCTTATGGAAGCTTTTTTTGAAATAACCATTAGTTTAGTGTTCATTTTGCTTATAAGCAAGGTAAAAACTTATTATTTGAAACATGTCATGAAAAGGTTTCTCTCTCCCATCTCAAAACCCATTAAAGAGTTGCCTGTCGCCGATTTCTGGAAAAGATACTCATTACACATAATAATCCATTATTGATTTGGGCATAAGATAAACAAATTTGGAAAATCTGCCCACTTGAAACAATGCTAGTGAAAATCATGGCTGTTTATTTTGCTTGCTTCATAGTAAACATACTTATTCTCTTGGTTGGCCTGTCTCACTTGTAATTCAGTTTAGTGATTCTTTCTAAATGTGTATTTGGAGCCATTTCCCCTTTTTGCTCATGTTGGTCTGCTTGAAAATAGTCTGTGTTTCTCTTCTTTTCTCAAAATGTTTTTTTCAAATAATACCCAGCCTTATCTTGGTGTTGACACACAGAGAATGTTATGTATTTTAGCAAAGAAATAATCTTTTCTTCTGCTGAAACATGCAGTACATAAAATCAAAACAAACATAGCATTACCACTTGGAAACATCTCTACACCGGACTACATAATTAATTAATTCAGCACCATGTGCTATGCCTGGCTTGTAACTTGACAGGGAGAAACAGGCATGTAAACAACTAGCTAACTCTAGCATAATTTTTCTTAAACCATTTCTCTTTTGACAGTTTATGAAGCAGCAAGTTTCATGTGAGCACAAAGCTCCAACCAAAACAGCTCAAGAAATTGATAGTTATAAAAATGATTTTTTTTCATTTATTGTTTTCATTCACTTATTTAACAAATAAACGTGGGGCACCTCTAGTATGTAGGTATACTGCCTTGGTGTTAGATTATATACTCCAAGGGTATTTACTAAAAGCTGATGATCAAATCTCATAAAGGCAGCCAAACATATTTTAAAGGTTTTGCATCTTCCCTTTATCCCTGAAGTCCCTAATTTGGGGGGGGGGGGGGGAGGCTTGTTACCCACCTGAATAGTTAGTAGAATGGCTAAGAGCTTGTCATCACTGCAGCCCGTCTAAAACATTGTCCCATGTTCCACAACTCTCTCACTCACTGGTCTTAGAAGTCCGTACTTCAGAATAAGATACTATCTGTAATAAAAAGGTTGACAACAATAATTAATCGAGCACCTACCACATGTAACACTGCTAGACACTTAGCATATACTATTTCTGATATAGCAATCTTGAGATTGGGTATTTATTTTCCCCATATTATCACTGAAGAAATAAGTTCAGAAAGGTTAAGTGACTCCCCAGGGTTATCCAGCTGGTCAGTTGCAGGGCAGGGTTTCAGTCCATCTTCACTTGGGTATGTATAACACATAGAAAAACAAGAGCAGAATCAGCCTTGAATTTTGAAATCAGCTGCCAACTGTGTACTGCAGTTGGAGTCCATCCTGTAACTCCATTTATTCCATCTCTTGGGGCAACACCTGAAAGAAATAAGCAACTTGAGAGGCCATAAAGACCACACATTGATCAGTGCAACATGACTGAATCATAGCGCATCATGAAAGTGTGCATTTTTCCAATACAGAGGACTATAGCATGTTTCTTATTGCATAACTGACAACGATAGGTAAAATATGATGGGATTGTAACTGGCATCTAGCTCTCACTAAAGAGTTGGTGAAATTAAAGGGGCTGCCTCTTTCTAGGTCCTCTTGTATTGTCTGGTTTTGCAGATCTTTTGTATGCCCCACTGGGACTTAGGATGATTTTTTCCATTTTTTAAAGGCTGTTAGTACAAATTGCAGAAGATTCTCAGTCTTCTAATTCAGATTTTAAATAACAGAATCCCCACTAATTTTATTAATGATACTTCCTTTCTGTTCTTTCTGCAAAAAGCCTTCTGTAAATGAATGTTTGTACAGAATGGTGATTGTTTTTCCCCCAGGGTCCTGCAACTGCTTTCCACCTCTGAGCTCTCTCTGATTAGAGGCTTGAATTTTGCAGCCCTCTTTACAATACTGGAGGTATTTTGAGTCTAGATTTTGGCAGAAAAACCAGTGTCCACCTTAGATTTCAAACTAAAAAGGAATTCTATTCACAGATCTTTATCAGTATCGAACTACCCTTTGGCTAGAACAATTTATCATATCAATGCCAATAATTAATTTCATATGTACTACAACTCTTGGTAGTTACAGATTAAATTTAAAAAGGAAAAGAAGGGGGCGCCTAGGTGGCTCAGTCGGTGAAGCATCTGCCTTCAGCTCAGGTCATGATCTCAGGGTCCTGGGATCAGCGGGGAGTCTGCTACTCTCTCCCTCCCTCTCATTCTGCCCCTCCCCCTGCTCGTGCTCTCTCTCCCTCTCTCTCCCAAATAAATAAGTAAAATCTTTAAAAAAAAATAAATAAAAAGGAAAAGAAGATCGCTTCATATTGACCCTTCATGGGCAAATGTTTTCAGAATTCTCCAGATTACCATTTTCTTTTTGTAAACATTCTCTATTTAGAGACTTGGTTGGTAAGTCCTATCAATTCTGTCTCTAAATTATCTTCTAAGTCTGTAGCTTCTTTTCATGACCCACCATTACTGCCTTAGTTGAGGGCATAGTGGAACACCTCCGTTCCCCGATTGGAACTTCCCCTACTTTATTTTTTGATGGTAATATCCGACTTAAAATATCTACGTGACTCCTTCCTTTCCCTTTCCTAGAATCCAGTTACTGCGTTTTTCTTTTTTCTTCACCTTCTCTCCTCTTTCTTTCCTGCTGGTGGAATCTCAGTCATCACTGCATACAGGTATCCATGCATTGACTAGCCTCCTTCCTAGGAGCCTCCCGTCTCTAGTCCCTCCTGCTTATAGTCTGTCTTGCACACAAACCCATGAGGTCTTGTTCTCAAATACACATTTGGTCTTGCCACTTGTCCCTTTGGTTTCTCCAGAGGCAGAACGTAAGACAAGGAAACAAGTGCAAGTACTTAGTCTGGGAGGCAAAAGCACGGATACAGAAAAGTGAGACAGAGAAGGGTAGGTAGGCAAGAAAGAGGACATTATCAAACCAGTTGTTGTTGAAGGCAGCTGGAGCTTAAACTTCCTGGAAAAATTCTGGAAACCGGTTTACAACACACACCTCAGAGTTATTTCATTGGAAGGACTAGGGAAGTGGGGTATTTAGAAGCCAGAATCTGAGAGTCACTGGTAAGGGCTGAGGTGATGGCAGGGGAGCCGGCAGCGTTCATTTCCCAGAGCACCAGGCCTGCCCCACAATCAGGCAAAGTAGCTTTCGTGGCCAGAGGAGAAGTCAGGCAAAGAAGTGCAGGTGTTGCAGACCGTTGGAAGTCAGGCTGACAAGTATTGGAGTGATGAAGATGAGAGCATATGGGTAGGGCACCAACAGCATCTACAATTCAGATAACCTCTGAGATGTCTCCCTGTAGAAACTGGTCTCTTATTTTTATGACACATAAGCCTTTTATAGTCTGAACCAAACCTTTCCATGGGAATGTACCCTTTATTCCAACCTCCTGACTTTTCTATAGATACACCCTCTTATACTGCTAAGCTCTATACAAGCTGCTGCTTTTTCCCAGAGGTCTTTTCATTTTTGTCTTCTGACGAAGTCCTGTCCATCCTTTGAGAACCAATTCAAATGGTGCTTCCTCTCGGAAGCCCTCCCTTCTTTGTCCAGGCAGAAATGGTGTTTGGGATATCGTTAGAGTTCAGAAAATGTGTAATGAATGGATCAGTGAACATGCCTCTGCTCTTACTGTTGAACACATTCATTTGTAATTATCTATGTGTCTGTTTTCACCATAGAGTATGAAATATGACCGGTCAAGGGCCATGTCCTGTCTGTCTGATCCCTTTCACCTGCCACATGGTCAACATCCAATAAGTTTTTGTTGAAATATCCCCTTAAATGAAAGTATTGGATATTTCAATATTGAATGTTTTCAATGGTTCAGCATTGAAAGCACTGAAAAATAGCCCCTTAAAACTAGACATAAGACAAAAATTAGTACCTCTAAGTTCTTGTCATGCCTCTCTCCACACAATTTCATGGTTACTAGTTTCGTTGCCTCTTTTCAAAAGAGTGGAGAGAGGTATAAAATGAACTTCAAATTCCCTTTAAATTCTAAAATGCTACACAACTTCACTAATGTTGCCCCTGAGGTAGAGCATAGAGAATACCACAGCCGATGCCTATTATGTTTCACTGATTGGTGGTAAAGTAGAAATGTAAGTGTGATGACGTTTTCTTGAGTTCTGGACTCGGTTTGTGTATGTATTTGTTTTTCCCTTCACAGCATCTACAAAAGGCAAGGAGGCATTTTTACCTGCCTCTGTGTATTTTTATTAAATGGAAAAAGTTATTTACAAATGCAGGCTTATATATGTTTTTTTCTCAGTTTTGCTATTACATGCATTTCTCTCAGTGATTCTAAAGAGAGTAAAATAATGCAGAGGCATAAAGCGTTTTAGGGTAATTTTCATCTGGCTACAACACAATAAAGCTTTATCTCTAAGAAAGCTGCTCAGGAGAATATGCCAGTGGAGCCTAATGGAGTTGTATTTCCACTTTTCCACTAGAGGGAAATTATGTCATTGTATTATACCAAGGAGGCCAAGTATTTGCTAAATAAAACACATTGAAATGAATATTAAAAGCAGCCTAGGTAAACAACTCACCCTAGGGACTGGCTCTTTCACAAAAGAACCCATATAATCCTTCTAGAATAGAATTCAGATCAGTTATTACTTCTCTGCTCAAACTCCTTTATCAGCTGTCCATCACACTAAGAAGAAAATCCAGACTCCCGCCCGTGGTTCACAGGTCCATCCCCGGATGGGCCCCTGCTTCTCTCTTCCGTCTTACGTCTCATGTCTTGCCCCACCCAGATTGCTCACTCCCCATTTGATTGACCTGCCCCCCCTCACTTCATTCAGGTCTGTCCTCAAATGACTCCTCCTCCCCTAAAAAGGCTTTCCCCAGCTTTTGATCTGAAAGAGCAGCCTGCATCCCTCTATCTGGTTTTCTGGCGTTCTTGTATTTTTCACGTCTCTTGGCAATACCTGCCATGTTCTGTGTCTGTTTCTTAATGGACGGCCTCCCCATGAGGGTAGCGACTTTTGTTACCCATGCCTTAAACTGTACAATTTGGTTCAAACTTTTATTGAATGAATGAATTTGTCGAATGAGTAAATGAATGACTATTCCTACTTCACATTTGTATTTCAATCACCTACTGGCAAGATCAGTCATGCTTTGACTAGTGACCAGAGTATAGGAGCCTGAGGAGAAATTGCCTTTTTATCTTTTAAACTTACTAACTTTGCAATGTTTTTCTGTAGTTCATGGTTGATAGTAATTAACTTCTTGTTAGTTTTAAGACATTTAATACATGAAACCACCCTTTCCCTCACAAAGTCACAGAGCCAGCTGACTTTATTTTTTTAATTAATACACATTTAGCACTTGCTGGAAGTAGAGGAAGTATGGGTTATATAATGAGCTGTCAGTTGTCCTAACAATGACTTAAAACCTTTTCTAAGACCTTTAAACTATAAACAAGATGTGATGTTCATTTTGGATGCCAAGAGATTCTCCTTTTATATGGACCTATTTATCCATCCACTCTCTATACTATGGAAGTGTGGTAGGTGCAGTGTTGAGCTACATGGCAAAAATGTTTCAAATTCTTATATCTGGCTCCAGAAAGGTTACTTGACCCCCTAGTCAGAACCTTACAGAATGGAATGATTTTGTGGAATCACACCCTCATGAATTTTCTGGAGTTCATCAATTTTACGCTAGAGAGAGGACCATTAATGTAGACTTTCTGGGAACATTAATCATATTGGCAATAAGGATCTTTTATAGGTACTGAGAATAGATGAGCATAGACTTTAAAGCACAAAACTCCAGTTTAATTAAATACGCTATCCATCCTACTGCTCTTTCTAAAAAAGGTAATAAACTGTATCTTTTTTTACTATATAAAATTTTATTCTTGTCTCCGTAATTGTTCATGTGTTTGTTGTTGTACATTTGGAATTTACAGTGTTTTTAAGATGAGTTAAATAATAATCATTTTGACTAAACATTTACTTTATGTAGCGGGTTGGCAAACTTTTTTTTATAAAGGGCCAGATAGTAAGCACTTCCGGCTTCGTGAGCTGCATGGTTTTTCTTGCAACTATCCAAGCTCTGCTGTTGTAACGTGGACAGTACATGAACGAGCCTGGCTGTGTTCCAAGAAAACTTATTTTCAAAAACAAACAGCGGACCAGATTTGGTAGTTTGCCAACCCCTGCCCCATAGTACATAGTACCCAGATTTTTTAAGATTGTTTCTTGAGGGTAGAAGCTGTCCTATAGTAGAGAATGAGGCAGATGCATCCCATAAATTCTAGTTAAGTTGATTGAAATAAAGTAGAAATTATACAATACATGCAATATGCAGTTATGATTTTGAATGGAAGACATCATCTTTTGTGTAATCCAGTGTCTCCCATATAGAGATATCAACAGGATAAGGACCACTTTAATTTTAGATATATAAGAAAAAACAACAACCCTTCCCTTTCCTGATGAATTTTTTTTTTTTTAAATCAGGTATGACTCATCACAGTTCCCCTTTAGCCCTGACTGACAACTGACTTAAGAACCAAGAGTTAGCTGAGAACAAAGAGCTGAGTTTTGTCTTGATGGTAGTAGCTAACATTAGCTGATGTTTTCAGTACCATTAGCTCCTATGCCTTCATTGATTTCATTCTTTTTTGAAAGTAGGTGAAGAATAAATATATAAATGTCATCTGTTATATCTAACACAAAGGTTTAATTGGATGTGGCTTCTTGACAAAGATGACTTTTGAGCCCCTTTTGAAGGATGAGAGGAAAGGAATGAAAATCGTTTTTGATCAGAGGAATATAAGCAAAGGCATCATGGTAGGAGTTGCTAGAATCATTGGCTGAGTTACGTGGTATGGAGAAGTAGCAGCAAGAAAAGCACGTCTTAAATCACAGCTTGACCACTTTCATCAGTACAAATGAATTTGAATTCCTCAGTTCCTCAAGAGCATAAATAAATAGCGAGGGTTTCGGGTATTTGCGGTCACTGTTCTCGGGGAACTATTTACAGGTTTTGTTTTGTTGAGCTTATAGTACTACTTGCATAATAGTGATGCTTATATATGTATGTCTATAAAGTGAGAATCACTACTTTGTATGCTCTTGTAAATTATTGCACTAATTATTTCATCAAGTACTATTATGGGGAGTTACTAATTGCTAGTAGAGTAATTCTTACTATATTGTGAAACAGTGTTAAAGACAAAATTGCTAATGTTTTAAGGTATACCATCTGGAATAAGCAATGCTTCAAATTTTTTGGCTTTTATGTTTGATTACAAAGCAATTCTCATACATATATATTTATATGTTGTATCCTTTTATTTCCTGCAAAGAACACTTTCCTAATTTCTATTTGCTTTTCTTTCAGTTGTTTTACAGGTTTGCAGCCTGGTCCTTTACCCAATCAAGTTCATTGAAACTGTGAGCTTGAAAATTTACCATGAGTTCAACTGGGGTTATGGCCTGGCCTGGGGTGCAACTATATTTTCATTTGGGGGTGCCATCCTTTATTGCCTGAACCCTAAGAACTACGAAGACTACTACTAGAACCAACAGTCTCACATTTTAAAAAACAACCAACCATCCAACAAAAGGATTACGTCTGTTATCTTTTCTAACTCACTGTTTTCTAAAACACATGTGGAGCATCAAGCAGTTTCCTCAGTTGATTTAATATCTTTTGCCTTTTGGCTGTCAACATCATAACCAGCGTTCACATCCATTTTAGGGACCTGCACAAATTAAGAGAGCTGATTAGACATAGGCAAATGCTGCAAACTTCCAATATGTTCATGTCATTTTTCTTGACAAGTGAAGGGTCTATATAGGCAATGCTTTGGCAATCAGCTTCTCCCCAGGAAGGGAGTCAAGACTTGGAGGCATGTGCTTTTCATTGTGCGGCTAGCAATTGTGCCTCAGCCATATCTAGAATGAGGAAAATTGAGAGTCTCTGCTTTCCCTGGGGCAACTAGAAAGAAATATGCATGAGTTGCTTTTGTCCGAAGTACCCTTTAAATCATTTACCAAACATTACTGCAAATAATTGTGCATATGTAACAAGCTTAAATATTTTTATAGAAGGTGAACCATTAGTATAAATGGTAATAAGTTGTTCCCTACTCCAATACATGCATTTGCCTATTACATATAAAAGTAATATTTGCTCTAGTGAAGTGATTTGAACACTAACCTTGTACACGTTAAGAGGCTTAGATTGGTATTCACACTTATTTACTGTACAAAAGTACATATACCTTAAAGCTTTTGCTCTGTGTTCTCTACTGTTTCACTGGAAAGTTTTAATAGAATTGTATAAGAAGAAAAATTGAAATGGTGTTAATCTGAAAATTCATGATTCTTCTGCAAGCACTGTAGTTCAAAAGAGAGTAGCAATTAGAATGATCATTTTGTTAAAAGTTCAGTAAAATAGAAGGCTGCTTTTTTTCAAGTACTTTAAATGTCTTTATTAAAAAATAAAAGAATAGTGATAGATTTATAGAAATGTCTAAATGTCTCAGTAGAGGAGTAGAATTCATCTGGTTATCACCTGGTCCTCTGAAGTTAACTAATGGGCTGATTTCTGCACACAATTATGATGGATTTATGTTAAGGGAATCATTTGTTGGCTGTTCAAATGGAAGGAAGGAAATATCAATGATAGGGAATAAGTTTGCAACTAATCTCACACTGCAAACTTGCATTAATCCTGTTTAATACACAAATTTGGATAGTTTAATTATAAACATATTTTTATATCAAATAATACAGTTCTAATATAAAAGTTATAGATAGTTATTTTTGTTAACAAAGACACTAAAACAGTATGTCCTGGTTTTGGCCCTTTTGCAGAAAGAAGCATTGGAAAAATCATTTAAAACCTACTTATGTTCTATTGTATTGCAAAATCTGTTAAGAGCAGGACCACATCAATAGTATTTAATAATTTGCTTTACCTCCCAGAGCAGAGTTCTGCTTTCAGCTTGTCTTAAGAACTGTTGCCAGAACAACAGGGGAAAAAAATCTATTTTATTATTCAAACGCTTAAAAAAAAAAAACCCTTCCATCTTTTGACTTCTCTATAGAATCACAAAGTAAATATGAAGAACCAGGCTTGATCTTACTTTAGCAATGACAGACAAAAGTAATTAAATGCATCCTAGAGGGGCACCTGGGTGGCTCAGTTGGTTAAGCGACTGCCTTCGGCTCAGGTCATGATCCTGGAGTCCCGGGATCGAGTCCCATATCGGGCTCCCTGCTCAGCAGGGAGTCTGCTTCTCCCTCTGACCCTCCCCCCTCTCATGCTCTCTATCTCATTCTCTCTCTCAAATAAATAAATAAAATCTTAAAAAAAAAAAATAAATGCATCCTAGAGAGAAACCTTTATAAAAGTATATGATTCTCTATAGACTCATAAGAAACTATGGGTGGAAGTTTTCCAGAAGGATATTAGTATCATAGAATCTTCTGAAGCAATTTTCTTGAAAAATAGTGAAATCTGGGCCAGACTGTCTTGCAGTTAATTGCATATTGTCAGAGCAGCATGAGAAATACAGTATTTGTTGGATAGGGATTTTGGCTATTAAACACTCTCTATTGTGAGAGAGTCTCTTTATTCCTGAATAATGGGAGAACAGTACTTTGGGGCTGACATCAGTGAGGCACTTTTCTTAGTCCTAGCAGAGGATGCAGTGTGCTGTTAGACCGGTATCACATCTCGAGTCGTACCAAGTTTTCATTCTCTGTCAATATGACAGGCTGGAAAATGACAGACTATGTTATAGGCTAAGGCACACATATTTGCAGTACACTCAAAGGTAGATTTCTTATATAAGTTTTCTCCCCTTCCCAGTGAAGAGCCCTATGTTGTATTTCTACCATCACTAATATTTGAAAGTATTTCATGACTAACAAGCTCAGTACAACACGAAAATTGTTGCTTATCCGAAATACTTTTTGTCTATCAGAATGAACACATGTGAATTTTCACCTACATTACGTCTTTGCAGCTTTAGGTTTGTTTGATGTTTTCTTACAAGCAAAACTGTTGACTATAAATCCATTGTTTATCTTAGAGCGATATATACGCATACACACATAGAGCATAAAGTACTCATCAGGGCTAGTTACTTGGATTTCTTGCACAACTATTTAGCTTTTTGTAAGTTCAACATGTAAATTTTAAAGACAAATATAGAGAGACCTATGTGTTTGAAATATAAATGATATATATGGATTAGCATGTACCTGTATATTATTAAACATGCAATGAACTGACTGGTAAGTGACGTCTAATTGTATGGCTAGCAATGTAATTTATTCAGACTGTATTTTTGTACAGAGCAGCGCACACTAACCTATGCCTCTGTGTCCTCTTTAATGCCTAAAACTGTGCCTAGAAATTTCATCTGTCTTAAAAAATAAAATTATACTTCATGCTGTTTATGCTATAGTTTCTCTACTGCTGTTCTATATTTATTATTTTTAAATATATGACATGTTTACTACTTAAATATGAATCCATGGTATTCTGGTTATTTTTTCTAACAGTCCTCTGGGGGAAACCTGTTTATCACTCCAGTGGTTTTGAGTTTGCAGTTTCGCGATCGGTTCTTCATTTCCTGATTTTTGTAGCTGACATGAAGTTATCTATGTGGAAAAAATAAAAATAAAAGTGGTTTCACTGATGTGGTTTGACTTGTGTCTTCTCTGCTGTGTAGACCCATTAACAGGTTCCCAAATTACACGTCTGCAAGTTCATGTTCTCCTTTATAATATATATTACCTAGAAAACAGAACCTGCCATGGCATGCTCATTTTATGTAAAACTTTTAAAACTAGTTTTGTTTCATATTCTCTCCCAAGATTCTTTCTGTCCCCTGCAGTTGAGTTATATAAACACTAAGAGAAAGAATGTTAAATGTCTCTTTAAACTTTATTTTGAAATGCACAGGAAGGAGATACAGCGCAGGCTACTGGTCTTCCTACTCTAATGACACAATTAGAAACAGGAGTAGCAAAAGGGTCGATACTCTGTTTTGGCTTTTGTTTAGTTTTCGGTGTTTGCAAGGTAAGTTAAAACAGCCCCTCCTGCATTATTTCTCACTTTTAATTACAGAGGCATGCTTCATTTTCCGTGCACACGCGCATGCGCATGTGAACAAATCCATAAAATTAAAGTCGAAATTTCGCATCACCTTTGTGTATATAAATGGTGAGTGTACTTGGAAAGAAATCTAAATGAGGCAATAAAATGCACTTGTATGGTTGCCAGAAATTTTTCTTGAAGATATAAATAGAACCACATGTAATCGAATAAACTTTCTTGTGTTGCTAAAATCAGTTTGAACATGAAGTACATATTTTTGTTAGGATATCCTTTCATGTCTCATACGAACCCTTCAGTCTTGAAAGGTTCACAGAACTCTTTTCTGCCAAAAAAATACTGTAAATCATCTGCAACTCTATGCTATATTTAATGTCAAACTTCCAGAAGTATGCATATTTGACAGCTATAAATTCAACATTTTCTATCATTTTGGAGATTTTCCTTTCCAACGGCCTTACTATATTCTAATTTGATGGGGGTAGCATCATTCATTTGATGTATTACGTTTTCAGTATAAAGTACTTTCATTTGTATACAGAATTCTCATGAGCAAAACACTTACAAACATGTCCTGCCTGATAATTATCCATGACCCACTTTCTCTGAATTTGGAAGACATGGAGACATAACTTCACTCTGATTTGACAAGGAAAAATCCTTGGCCTTCAGATTTCATTGTGAACATGAAACAGGAAAGTGTTTTCAATTTGCTCTGCCATAATGGCCATATAGCCTGTTAGCAGTTTCTTTTATTAAGTCGGGTCCATCCTATGTCAACACAGTGTCCCATTTTGAAGGTTTTTAAGTCGTCTGGGTTAGAAAATAAATTGGTAGTGAAATTATTTTCTGTTCTGTAGAATAATCCACTGAATACCTGAATTTCTGATTTATCAAATTCTTATAACCTGTTAATAGCTTTTCAGAAGTGCAACCTTAAATGGGATTAAAGGAGCAAATAAAAATTAGGATGATGTGCTTAGTATTTTCACTGGAAGCACTAATTTATTTGAATAACTTAACTTCTGTGTCAACTATTGGAATGTGGTATCATAGCTACTGAATGCTAAAGTTAAGATCAGACTAAGTAACAAAATGCCATCTAATAAAATGCCAACAATTTTTCTTGTATGAGGCAGGTCTTCAGACTATTCGAGAAGTCCTCAGATTTCTAACAACTACGTGTTGCTATGAGCAGAGAGTCCATATATCTATACTTGGAAAATCTGTTTTCAAAGAGTCACCAGCTGGGTGACTCAGACATTTATATTCCAGCAGTAAGTCTAATGGTTCCAAAGTATAACTAAGAGAACAGGAGCTGAACTGTTCAAGTGGGAAGAATAATATGTGGTGTTTCAAAGCCAAGATTAACAGCACACAAAGAATGGTGTTCTTTATAAAACTAAAGCTGTGTTGAGTGGTTCACCAGAGAAACTCCATTTTGGCAAGCAATTATTTCCAAGTTGAATGACTTCATAGGAATAATAATTATAAAAAACTTGGAACGAGTACTGGAAAATCATGTCATCAAACCAACAAAAACCTTGAATACTTCAATTTCTGCATGTGACAAGAATTAATGAAGAAAATAGTATCTAAACATATACTAATAAACATATATACTAATTATATATAATAATAATTACACATTACATACATGTGATGGTGGTACTGAAGACTGCTCCTTGGCTGCTTTGAATTTATCATTATAAAGGTAAAATAAGAAATAAACAGCCTATTTTTTTTTAAATATCGTTCACAAGAAAGGTTCCAAGAAATTGTTTTAAGTCTGAACAGATGAAATTATTATGAATGAGGGATTACACTGTTAAGGGATAAATGGAGGAGATACCTTGTGTTAACCGATACCTCGTGTTAACTCTTTGATACCATGTGTTAACTAAAAAAACATAATGCTCTTATGCTTGGGAAACTCTCCCACACACAAACTTCTCTATCGAAGTGTTTTTGGAGACTAAGTACCCCTTTGTGGCTATATCACTGCTCAGTGGGAATGTGGCAACTCCTGATGTCAAGAACAATTTTCCAATATTTAACATTTAGGTGATTCTTCTTAAGCATTATCTAGCTATTATGGTTGTGTTAATTATTTGCATAGTGATGTGTCTGAAAGAAGCAAAATGAGAAATTGTAATCATTGGGAAGGAAAAATTTTCCTCTACCATTCAAGTTTTTGTTTTTTGTTTTTTGGCTAGTCTTAAGAATTAAATTGATATGAGACAGATAAACAGGAAAAAATCAAATTTAATTATGTACATATGGGGACTCTATAAGATTATGAGGCCCACAGGCAGTCAGGCAGTTGAGCTAAGGAGAAGTGGGTAGGGGTCTGGGCCTACAAAGGGAAGGAAGGCAATTCCCAGGAATATGAAAAAATCAGTGTTTGGTAAACAATATTTGCTGAGCATTCCAGAAACAATGGGACACAGAGGATTTGGATCAAACAGGACTTGCTAGTTTCCTCCCTGTCCACTGCACCCAGTTCATATTATACTCTAGTTATCTGTGGTGATAGCTCTCCCCTGGAGCAGATCCTCTATCTAAATCCTTTCAGGCAGTTATGGAAGAAGCAAAAAAGAAAAACTCCTTGAGTCATCTGTTTCTTAAAAACAATCAGCCTAAAGTAATCCACAGGCCAAAAGACACATTTTGAGGAGGCAAATTTTGCTCCCCTAAATAATAAAACATTTAACACTTATGATAATGAAAATTGTTTCTCTTTCAACTCCACCCTCTGAATGCTGTTCACTGTTGGAACAAATTTGGCATAAATTTGACATAATATAGAAATCCTTATGGAGGTATAAGGTTTCACATAAAATTTCCAGTTATATTTTCTGAAGACCTTGATATTTTTAAATGCTGCTTAATGAAGCAGAATTTTGGAAAAATCTATTCTCAGGGTATTTCTGTGCAAGCCTCAATATTTAGCACATCTTTCTAGCCAATTTTCAAGACATGGAGTACTTTGAGTTACTTTCTCCCATTTCTTCAGGCCTGTATAAAATTATTTTTTCCCTATCTGTATCAAAAGTCAATAAATATTAGTACATATTTAGCCAGGTCTTTGAGCTTTAGCAAGTTCAGGTATGATCCTACACACCAGGATCCAACCTCCTGCTGTCAATGACTGCATAGCATTTTTGAATTAGAAATGTTCTAGAAGTTGAGGCAACCACTAAGACTTCTTATGCCCATTCAAACCAAAAGCACTGTTTGGCTTCAGTTAGGTTTCTTTGACTATTGTGCTGTTTGGACAGGGAAAACACATGTAATATGCTATTTTCCTAAACTAAGGCTGGTTTTGATTTATTATTATAAATATGTACAAATTTCATGCATTTATATGCTTAGAAGGGTTTACATATTATCTATTTTGGAACTGGAGCATTTTTAGATTTACAATTTAATGGAAATACAAAGTTACAGTCAGAGTAAGGACTGGGGGAAAATATCTACAGGAAAAGGAGATCAAACAGCTGCATCTTCCAAGTTTTACCATTTAGTCATAACTGTGTGGTATAAGACTGTGAAGGTATGAGAGCAGAAACCTGCCAGGTTGGTATAATTGATTAGCTTTGGAGTCTATGCTCCACCCATAATGATTTTTCTGAGAACAGTAGAGGACTTGGCAGGCATCCATATTTGCACCACATGACCCTGCACCCCTGGTCAGAGGTAATTACAGCAGAGATGGTTCCTGCCTTAAGCTAGCCTCCTCTGTTTCTCTTGCCCATTAATTTGGAATTGGTCTCTGCATGTAGCTAGTAATAAAATGCATAAACCATGGGGTATTGGGGGTGTGTGCAGGGATGCAAAGAAAAACTGCAGAGAATAAAGGAATGGAATAGATATGCAGAGAGAAGCAGTCAAGAAGGACCATGTAACATCCAGAGAGTGGGAAAGAGTACCAATTCCTAGTAAAGTCAAGCTGCCTGTGTTCCATGAAGTACTCCCGTGTCCTTCCAATAATTTCCTGTTTTGATTAAACCAGTTTTAGTTGGAACCAACAGAACCTTCTGTTAGACAAAGCACCCTTCATTAGAGGGTTCAATATTCAGGTTCTGCTAAAAGTCCAAAAAAGAACTGGGAAGATTTCTTGGCACACTTCCCATCCCAACCCAGGGTGCCCAACATTCCATTTCCCCATCAAAATTTACTCCCACTTGTCTCATTCACATTACAATGCCTCATTCACAGTACAATGTAGCTCAGTGAAAAGATTTTAATGTAAACTCTCCCTTCTCTGTGTATAGTTTTTCCAGGATCAAAGTCATATGCTAAGGGGGAAAGATCAATAATTATTAGATGGCATAAAAGCTGCCCTGGAATCTCAGAAGCCACTCATGGTAATTTCTCTTACATCTTACATCTAGAACGTACTGGCAATCTACATTAGCCCCTAAGAGCTGTTGCTCTGCACAACCCCAGAGAGCACCATTCACATGTGTTCTCCAAGAATGCCAGTCTTGCTGACTTTGCCTCTATCTTTGAATTTATGGCTTATCTTGAGGATTTCAGAGTAATACCTCACACACACACATATCTTTTTTTTTTTTT